TTCCTGCTGGATTTCATTAAGCACACAAGCTCATCTCCCAAGTGGTGGGAAAAACTTCTCCCAGATGATCTGGAATCAGGTAAAATTACGCAATTAAATGGAGCTGGGTCAAGACAACAATGAATATTTTCTCTTTCACAACATTACAGAAACTGCATTAAATGTGATCCATCTTCCTGAAAAATCAATTCAAAACAGTCACATTCCAAGGTATCTTCCAAAACACATTCTCTTAGCCATTAATTGAAAAAGAGAAGATACTATAGTAGCTGGCTGAGCGCGTGCGATACTGCGCAGAGCCCACCCGCCGCGTCAGGGCCGACCCCGTCCCTGCGCGCTGGCGCTCTCGAGCACCAACTGCCAACCCTGGAGAGCTGCCCGGCTGCCCTCGCCAGGGGCGCCAACGGCCCCCAGACACGGCACGGGGCAGCCAGACCATCTACTGGCGTATTGACTACACGGCAACTTCCCACGACGCATTACCTAGCCACACCACGCGAAGGCTTAGAGAAACACACACACAGCTCTTTCCAGATTCCTCCACTCCAAAAGCTTTATTTTTAAACGTAACTTTGAAAAAAGAAGTTGTGCTTTAAAACAGTCACCTATCATAAAAGTTAAACAGTCATCTCATGACATTCTCAAACTCTGTGGGATTTACTTGAATTTAATATCTCTCTTGAGTTGGGATTAAGATTTGTAAGTTTTTTTTTTACTAATCTATTTCAGTTAATTAATGCAAAGGACATGCAAATAAAGTAGCAATCTACTGAACAAGAATAATTTTCTTTTAATTTGATTGCCCCTACAGGGCAAAATCCAGGGCAAAATCTGTATTTTTTCCTCCATTTATGATGACTTTCTGTTGTTATTATTGGTTAATTGAAGTGGGCAGTGAATATGATGTTTCAGATCAACTATATGGCTGTAACACATATTTCAATGATGAGCGACATCACCAGTGATGATGTTCTACTCTAATAACAATTCACTTCAGATGTAACAACTCAGAGATTAAAAAAAGAGTAACAGCTGTAACTGATTTCTTCTTAATCAGCAGAATAATTAATACTTTAGTAGAGCAAATTCTGGGTGTACTTCATCTTGCAGCTCAATTAGAGGTTTCTGGGAACACTGTCTTGGGAAATGGTCTAATTTCAAGCATTGTTTTCAACAGGTATTACTAAAACTGAAAGCAATTTAAAAATATTTTAAAACACATTCAAGTATGAGTCATCACTTGTAATCTTGCTAAGACACAACACACTGAAAAAAAGGGCTATCAGTGCAAAAGACATCCTAACAACTACTGTGAGATTAATTCAGAGTTTAAGGCTACACAAGTAAATGTTTGATAATTTTCTGAATCAGGCAGGTTATTTTTTTATAAAGCTTTAGATTCTCCTGGCTGTCTAGAGCTGTTGCATCAACGACATTCTTTAACATGTCAGTGACAGAAGTAATCTGCACTATATGATGGTGATCCTTTTGGCTTCGTATAAAATCCTTCCTCTATTCACTTCCAATATGAGTGAATGATGTGAATGAAGAGGGGAATCTATTAAAAAAAGCTTGTTAATTTTACTTTCTACTTTAGACATTAACATTTAGTAAATTGTTTCCTGCTAAATGCCAGCAAGTTTTATAAGATGTATTATTACTCCTACTCCATTCCAGATTTTCGAAGTAGGATTCCCTTTCATTTTTGGAAAATCTGTCTCTCTTCCCATATTTCATACAAAATACGGGAAAAGTATAATTCCTCTCTCCTTAAACTACAGGTTAGTATTTACCCAGTGGAATAACAAAACAAAAGAAATCAGAACAAAAAAACCCTCATAAACTAATAAAAAATTAGAGATGGGTAAGTTTACAAAATATTTCAGAATATTTAGAAAATGCAAGACTATTTTGAATGATTACTTCAATTAGGTCAAAGGATTAAGGGAAGAACTCTTCTTGAGAACAGATTTCTGGCTGCAAATCAAAAGTAACATTTATAAAAGATGATTCAAGATAATGATTTCTATAGCAATGCTTCGTTAGCCACTTCTTTCCTGTCAAGCATTTTAGGAAGAATGTGACCACAGATTGCATGGGTATTGTTAAATGTGGATACTATCTGAATACTTTAAAAATTAATATACACATAAATACACATACCTTAAAAAATTCTTTCTTCTCGACTTGTTCATTGCCGTCTACATCCAACATTTTAAAAGCAATCTTAAATCCAGTCTGTGGTTCTGCAATAAAATGCAAAAACATTTTACTGTGTGTACATGTGCACAAACACACTAGTACATAAATATTTCATATAAAAGGAATAGTGCCTAGGGATTCAGTTCTCCATGGTTATGCACATACATCATACTTCCAGTAAACCACACATTTTGGTACCTGGATGTATGTTATCCAGGTACCACACATAATTATAAGCAAACATGTAAAACAACTTTTTACTACTCCTTTACGGGATATTTAATGCAAAGGCAAAACAGGAGATGTCAGCAGTGCCTAAACAGAGGGGTGGATGTAAATTTGATCTTAACTACCGTGAACATGTTGCCTGCATTACTGTCCTGGGCTTACATTCCCTGCAGATTTCTCCATCTCCGGATACTTTCAAAGTCTACCTCTGATAGGTAGATTAGACCTACATATCATCTGAGAAACCTGAAAAGTGCCATGAGAAAATGATATTTTTTTCCCAAATTGCTTAGAAGAGCTGGCACACTGCTCAGACACTCCTGCCATGCAGCACCACAGACTGATGTTTCCAGCCTTTGCTGCTCTGAAGAACAAGGATGGAGCTTGGAATGGCAGCCAGGTCTCCCACTGGGCTTTTGTTTGCTTCCCCTCCCTTCTTCCCTAAAAAACATACCCAAATGTTACTGAAAAGTGATCAACTATCCTTCCTGGCCTTTTTGTAAAATTACATATATATGTGTGTGTGTGTGTGTGTGCGCGCGCATGTGTATATGTGTTGTATAAATCTTCCCATGAAGCTGAATTTTTAGGCAGCTTCACAGTAGTTAACACTGCTTTTCCTTCAACATCTGGATGTCCCTTTTTGGTACAAGAGTATGATTAGTTCTGCATCTTGCAGGTGCTATAAGAAATAGCGTTTTTTGAGCTCCGCTCCACAATTTCTTGACCTTCCTTTGCTCCCACGGGGTGATGTAGCTCTCTAGCAAGGCCACAGAGGAGCAGCGAGCTGCTGGGAGGTGTTCACACTTCACTGCAGCACCACTTATCCCCGGAATTCCTGCAGCTAGGGAATTAGCACCACAACACAGTCAAGTCAGGCATTACTATAAAAGCCATGGAGCTACCTCCTCTAGAGTACATAAATGTTTCCAAGAAAAATCTTGGACCCACTCTAGCAGTGAAGCAGTATCTCTAGGGAGCATGATGCCTTCAGTGTTTTTATTTTGGAAGTGCATTCTTCCAGTTCCATATAAAAACAAGCTTTTTTTTTTTAAAAAAAATGTGGCAGAAACCTTTCAGCAAAGGAAACAACATAAGAAATACCCTGTTCTTTTTAACAAGGAGATGGTTAAATAAAGTACTATATTTACATTTTAGAAATAGCTACATCTTCAGCAGCCAATTAGTGTTCTTTGTTAAGCAACCTCGTGATGCAGTGATATTTTATAAATACCATGGCAATGTGCATAGCAGAGCTCTTCCCCAGCAACTGGGTCACAATAATTAAACTTTCTCTCCATGGAAATGCCACATTGTAAATTTTGTGTTACTAGTACAAAAGCAAGAAGAGTCTATCCTATAACATATTTACAGAATAAAAATAATTCATGTATTTAATAGTAATTTATACCATCTGTGTTGAAATTTTCAGATAAGAAAGCTGTTACTGAAAATATAGGACCTAAAGCTGCTTATACAGTTCAGAGATGACATATTTATCTGATATGATGTAACTACAATGGTATGCATTCATAAAATAAGCAGAGTTCAAAGAATACCTCAGATATATTTGTATTTAATTAGAATCAGGCAAAATTCCAAAATGTGAACACAAGAGCTTCATCTTAGCTGTGAGAGCAGGTTGCCTCCTCTGCAACCCATTCCCACTTTGACCAAACTGTCAACTTTTGTGACGACTAATTGGAGCCAGCTTTTAGCAAAGGTGACAATTTCAGTTCCTGGGCTCATTCACCAAGCAGGGCTTTACCAGCAGTGCCATTAAGCAACTTCTGAGAAGGAAACTGAATACTGCACTCAGAGAGGAAAGATAACGATGACACGAGGCACCCAGTGCAGAGAACAGAGGACTGCAAAATAAAGCCTTTGTCTGCCTCAAACGCACACTTTCCAAGCTGAGCGCGGTCACGCAGACACTGCTGCGACACGCAGGGCCGCGCGGGCCGCTCACCCGAGCGCCGGAACCGCCGCTCGGGAAACGGGCGATTCTGCTCCTGTTTGCTTATTAGTCTGCTGGTTCTGGATTCAGAAGAACATTTAGAAAAGAACCCCCATGTAACTAAAGCAGCAACATCAGCACTGCATTGTCCTCTGGCACAGGAAGGTCTCTGGTTTTTTTTTTTTTCAGTTCAGTATGTGAATTTCCTGTGAATTTCCTGAAAAATAATGTTGTATGATTGTTTGGAGAAGTGGGCCAACTTGCTCCAATATGCTTCAATTCTCTAATAATTTCAGTCATTTTAAAATGATTTTTTTTTGTTGCAACAAACATTTTTAATCACCGATACGACTGGGCTGGACTCTTACATTGTTTCCAATTTAAAAAACACTCGTATGCTCATGTTCAGTTATCTGCATGCCCAGCCAGTCACTACTGATTAGGGAAACAGTATATTTATATGGTAATGTAAATACTTATGCTATATATGCTATCTCATATGCTATTCTAGCCAAAGTTTCTTAGGAGATTACCCTTCATGCCATGCCAAGTGCACTGATGCGGTTCCACTGAGAAGTGATGTACGTTGTAAAAGGACTACCTGAATTGCACAAAAGTTGACTGCTTCCCTCCTTCCATCAGTTGAGACAGAACAGATCTAGTATGCCTGGTTTGTCACTTGCTTTGAGTGTTAGATATGTGTAAGTTAGTCAAAGGAGGCTGGGTTATATGGATGTGCCCCCAGTCTGTATCACGGGTAGTTTACAGATCTCAATGTGCAATGCTTCTGTTCGCGTCTCACCCCAAATCTCTGTGTACTCCAGCTTCACCTGAAGCTCATCAGGCCAGCACAGGGAGGGGGTAAGCATGGATTGCAAAGGCAGAATAATCATGGATGAGGAAACTTAGAAGATCCTGGATCACTACCACTCACAAGCCAAAAAATGCCTACTCTTTACTGATGCAGCAAATTTGCTTCCTTTAAAAACCGCTTTTGAAAGCACCTGCTGTTAGTCCATACTCTCTAGGATGGCTGAATGGAACTGCAAGAACGGCTATACATTCAGGGCTGACTAGCACAGAAGCTGCCCACACCTTTCTTCTCTGCACCCCTGGTAACACATGAGCACCACATTTCTTATCTCGGGATAGTCAAAAGGTTGGCTACTGGAGTTATCAAATACATAGAGGAAATAAAGTCAACAAGAACTCCTGAAATGAAATAATTGATTAAAAAGTCACACAAAGTGATGCCATAGAAGCCTTTTGTCTATCATCCACTACATATCTGAGCAAACAAATACAAGCAACAAAATTTCAAACACTGCATTTTTTTTATGTCACAGCATGAACTAAAATGTCAACATGTCATTGTCCAAAATGACTAAAATGACTATCCAGAAGACACCTTGCTTTATCTTCCCCCACTGCTGCTGTCGTTCTTAGCGTGTGATTCCCTATCCTGTCCTCTCCTCCTCAAGTCCTCTTGAAGGACTGTCCTGATCTTGTGATTCCGGGTTCATCAAGGGTTTTCAAGAGACACTGTTGACTAGTGATAACAGTACGGAATTGAGTTGCAGCCAATTAAAAGTATATGCCCACTAATTAACATATTACCACTCTATAGTTCTTTAAATTGGAATAAATTTAGAAGATTATTAAAAAAATATCCCTGGAAAACTGCTAACAGATCAGTATTTATGCATGTGCTTTTTAAACATGTAATGTTTAAAACATGTAAACTTACTTGTAAGGATTGTCAACAAAAACAGGTACTCTGCATATGAGATCAAACCTGAAATAAAACAGTAAAAAATTACTTGCAAGCAACTTATATAGATATAGCAAGTCTTGAAAGATCTGGTATCTTAAATAAAAATAATGTAGGTTAGTCTCTACTTCTGTTTTGAGGACTCTGAAGGTGGAATTCCATATCAAGAGACTCATCAATGTTCATATCTAATCCAGACAGTCAGGCTTATTTGGTAGTAATAGAAGGCCTGCACTAAATCTTTGGATTCTTACTGAAAACATGCCATGTTTATACAAAAGACAAATAAATTAACTGTGCTTTGTCACATTTAGTATCTGGGAGGAGAACTACTCTAACGTTACCCTCCAGGATCAAAGTATTCCCTGCCCTGGCAGCCCTGGAGAGGCGGCGAGCAGCTTCCCTCTCCTTCTCCAGGGGACGCGGCAAGGCGCGAAGCAGCCGAGCTGCCGGATCGCGCCGACAGCTCCGCCGGGCCCCGCGCCAGGGGAAGGCTGGGTTTTTTTTTAAATAGGAACATGTCCTTTCTGCAAGGTGAAAGTATTTCCCCCCCCACCTCTTTGGAAGGAAAATTCCAGTGTTTTCCTTTGAAATACCACCTCAAATGAAAAGCCTGAACAAACACAAAGATGTGACAGTGTCAAAATAGAGCGCAGGAACTAAAGATAGCGCATGCAGAACGAGGATGGTGAAGCACCAGAATCTGAACCATCTGCCCTGCAATAATGCTTGAAGAAAAAAATGTAAAGGGCTCTTTTATAAACTGCTTTTCGAAATAACTCAGCTACTTTTAACTTGTGAACTAAACATTGTATAATGCTGAAGCTGCTTAAAATAATGAAGTTTAGACATGCCTATCTGTGCAAAGATAAACACTTTTTATAATTTACATTTAGTTAATTGATAGATAAGGAATCCACTTCGTTGATAAACAATTAATTTCTGATGAATTACCATGCAGAGCCAACAGCATTTGTATCTGCTTTCATTTAGTGACTTAACACTTACTGGTTTAAATACCAGTGTTTAGAAATATTAATTTGCTGAATACAACAGTCTGAATATCTGAGAACAGGTCTTACCTACAGGCAGATCTAATGCTGTCCTGTTGCTGATTCACCCTGGTTCTACACTTCAGCTTCCTTCTCCATTAAAATACACCTATTCACCCTACTATTTGGCAGGTGAGTCATGTTTAAGTCAGCACCATCATACAACACTTTCAACTCAAAAAATTAGTTTTGCTTACAAGTTTCATGATCATGGTCACATCCCTGCACTTGCATTCTTACAAACAAACAAACAAATAAAAAAGCCCTCTCAAATGCGGACAGCAACAGGACCAGTACAAAGATTCCTGACGAACTGGAAAGTTTTTGCTAGATATGATGGAGAAAAGAGTCCGGTACTGGGATATAAAAGAAGAGACGATGCACTCAAAGGAGTGATAAGTAAGAAAAACATCTTTATCAAAGAACTTGAAAGGATATTAGCAGACTGTTAAAGGCAGAGGGAAAAAAAAGGTGTAATAACTGAGATGATAGATACAAAATGCTGAGAACTTGGAGAGTCTTAGCTATCCAGGTGGACAGGGATAATGATATATTGAAAAAATTGCAGAAAGAACCTTTGTATTTTGCAAAAAAAAGCTTTGTACAGAGATGGTAGGACCAAAGGAGAGACTAACTTAAAGACAGAACACCCTGTCACCCAAGTGAAAAGCAGGATGGCTACGCACTCTAATCACAGAAGCCTGGAAAGAAGTTTGGAAGAAATGACAGGTTGAGACTGACTTTTTTGGTCATATTATCTTAAGCTGTCTGAGAAGTCACTGTAGTGAAATAGGTACAAAGGTAAAAACAATAAAAGCATGTAAAAAAAACTTGATTGTGTTTTAGAAACTTGTTTCAGTGACTTAAAGTAAAGCCATGGCATGTTTGACGTTTTCTAGCAGGCTGATAATACCAAAATCAAAATATCAGGGCTGAACTTGAGATAAGATTTAACCTGTAGATTTACTGACATAAAAATCCTTCTCATAATTTTACTGTCTTTTTGCTACTTTTAGTAGGATGTGTGCAATTTATGCATAGAGTAAATTAAATATCTTGTTTATTTTACTCTAAAGTTACTCAAATTTTACATGTAAAGATGCAACTAATAATAATAATAATAATAATAATAATAATAATAATAATAATGTCCAAGGAAAATTGAAAAGATAAAAACTTCCTACATTGTTGAATGATTCAGCATACTCATAACCAAGGTCCTGCATTTGGCACTAGCAAAAACACAATAATCTTCTATTCTTTTCCCAGAAAACTCTATCTTCAAACTTTAGAGGAAATGTTGATAGTACGATATTTTTTCCTGCTGCTTACAAAATCATAATTATCCTCACTGATTATACCACACATTTTAAAACTGCCCACTAGAAGGCAGAATTCCCTAGCTTTAAGTTTTACAAGCTGGAGTGATGACAACATGCTCTGCACTTAATATTTAAAAACCAGTTTGGTGGTAGCTAAAATAATCTCATCTGAACAGTGGAACAGGTGTAGATTTATTATTTTGGTACTTGTAAAAGCAGTATTTAAAATACACAAATATTTATAGCTTTTCAAAGGAACTAATGAATGTTAAGACAAAAGCATGAAAATCACTGGAGAGGCGTCATGTCCAAAGCCAGCTGAAATCCCACGTATTGCGGATGCACATGGGCGACTGCATCAAATGTTCCTGCAACACCTCGGGCTCCTGATGGATTTTGGGTGCACAGAGGGAGGGAGGACAGTCCTGCAGGCCCAAACACCAGAAGGTCTATGATCCAGAATGACAACTACTACAAAACCACTGCAGAAAGAGAGGCTTTAAAACAGCAGTGATGATAGGGAAA